CCCCCCCCCACACTAGAGAGATAACACCCCACCCAACCAAAAAAGCCTTCCCCGGGGGTGCTGGTGTCCCTCCAATGCCTGAAACTCCACTGGGCACATCTCCGAAAGGGGAACTCCCCCCTCCAGACCCAGCTAGGTTTTGGTAATACACACTAGGTCAGCCCTTTCATCCATGATCAAATCACGGATGAGGACAGCTTTGTTACAGACTGACCTGACATTCAGCTGCAACAGTTGAAAGCCCAGGGCCTTGAAGGCCTGCCAACCGGGACCTTAAGTTGAGACCAGGGGAATGGAACATGCCACTGGAACCACATACCTGTGGCACATTTTGTTTTATTTGGTTGGTTTGGTTTTTTGTCTCCCAACAAAAGGATAATTAGAATTTATCTGGATGAATGAATATTTTAGACAGATGCTTATGTTGGTTTATAGTCACAAAGATACCTGATAGGTACAGCCACCAGTACAAGAAACAATTTACATATTGAATTGTGCAAAGCATTCAAAAGGCATGTTACTGTGACTAAATCATTCCTCCTGGAAATGTTAAAACATTGGGCCCTCTGGAAGGCTTGTGTCTGGAACAGTTATCTGCTCATGTTTGTGTAGCCACTTTCTCTGGCAAACTGCCACTGTTTGTGCATGTGCATACATGTACACACAGTTAGGAACAACCTTTGAAGCAGCCATATCAGTGTTTGAAAGATGGTTTTGAGGAGAGATTCTTCACTTCTACTAACTTGCTTTCCAAAGCACCTTTTTCAAACTATATTATGAGGTAGAGTGCTTTCGGTTGTTTGGCAGAACATTTTGTGCTTTTCACCATGAAGCTTGTTTATGTTTTGCAGCCAATAATACTTCCTATATAGTTAAACTTACTTTTCCATATGAGTTGTGTGCAAAACAGATATTTGGCTATATAATTATGTGTTTTCATATAGCCTGTATACTTGATTACTAAATTATTTCAAAGATTTATTGGAATGAAGTAGTATTCTGCTGTTTTCCAAATTCATATTTGAAACACTCACATATACAATATTTCTTATTTAAAGTTTCCCTATAAGCTTTCTGGTTCTTTTCCTCTCCCTCTCACATATAAAACATCACTCATTTCTATCGCAAGTGATGACTTCTTTTATTTTGTTACACACACACACACACACACACACACACAGACACACTAGATTTTCAAAGCATATAAAGAACTCTCTCTTGACAGGTTACAGATAAAAATAGCGATCCCAAATTAGGGCATTTAAGATTCTCAGTAGCATCCAGGATCTAAATGCCTAAGATCAAAGGTACATCTTTGCTGGCATCAAACATTTCATTGGCTTCCCCCCCCCCCCACTTCACATTCCTGCTGCAGTTATTCTTAAAACTTAACTGACATAGGTTCTGCACAGATTTAGAACAAAATATTTATTTTAGAAGTTTCACTCATTACAGCAAAAATGAAAAATTCATCAACTTCAGGGGGTGGGGCTGGCTGGCTCTATAAATTGATAGCCAGTTTGAAAATATTTGTGGCTAAATATAATGGAAATAAATATATTAATTCAATTTCTTGAAGAAATTGTATTAATTATACAAAGCTAAACTGAATCTATTATTGTAAATCTCATATTAAGAAGCCTGATCTTTCTGAAAAATCTGTATGGGGATGCTTAATTCATGTTACTTTTCAGAAACACTGTAATATAGGAAGATTGATCATGAGTTTAAGCCACACATTCACTAACTTCATTTATTTTGATAAGCACTGAAACCAAATTCTCTCCCAAATTTCCTTTGTATAAGGACAAATTCTCTAGCTACTGAAAAAGAGTATTCCAGGAATTTGTTAGGAAAGGAGAGTAATTGGAAGGATCTCCTCAAATAAATTTCTCCCACACACTCCCAAAATTTATTTTTTGTTCCTACAGTTTGGACCCTCATTCATCACTATTTAAACTGAAAGTTTTTTATGGTGATGATTTTTGTTTAAGAACAAAGAAGTGGTGAACAAAAAAAGCATACTTAACTGAAATCAGTAGAATTTAGACATTCTTAGCTTTGGATGGAGTATATTCTGAATTCTTAAAATTGAACTCAATTTTTTGCAAGCAGTAAGCCTTTGGTAATTGAGAAAAAGTGAACTTTCATTATCTGTTTGTTGCACAGATTAAATTAGGAAGAGCTCTTCCAAGGATGTTAATATTAACACAAGATGAATGCTGCAATGTATCACAAGATAATTAATTGTATTGGCCAAGTCGGTGCAGCCTACTTAAAATATTGAAATTTAGAAAGCTACAACTGAATTAAAATATGAGCAAACTTCTCTTCTCTTCTCCAGCAGAGTACAGTACAATTTCTACAACACCTATTAAAGATTCAGAGGCAGATAGGTTGCGTCGCAGCTCAGATGGCAAATCGCGTGGCCGAGGCAGAAGGAATAACAATCCTTCACCACCACCTGACTCTGACCTAGAGGTATTGGATATGAAGCAGCTATTTTATTTGGATATTGACTAATCCTTTCCCGCAGCTTAAGGGAGAGTTGATAAGGAAAAACAAAATTGAATTCATGAAAACCGTTGAAAGCAAAGTAAAATTAGCTGAAAGTTCATCAGTAACACTTCTATACTTTCACAAGTGAGTTTTCTTCTAAAAATTATTCATCTCTAGCTGAACACCTGTTGTTTCTTTCTCAAGGTAAACAGTTACATAACTCTTTCATGACTGTACTTATATAGTTCAAGTTCAAACCCTGAATGTCATATTTTCAAAAGAAATAACTAAATTACAATTAATGTTCTAGTAAGTTGATTGTGTTTATGAATGCAGCAAACAAGAACTAGTGGACTAAGATGGTGGACTTTCATATGAAAGGCAATGTAGAATTGTCTAATTTGTGTTTGAATGTATAGCATTCAGCAATTGATTGACTCTACCTGCATTGCTATAAACATTTAGAAATAAATCCAGCTTGAACTCATTTTATGACAGATGTACTGTATGTGTGGACTAAGAATGTGCCTGCTTCAAAAATGATTTGGAAGAGATATTTTGGGCATGAGCATAGCACCTCAAAGTACCTGCATTTTTTTAAAGACTTCAGCATAAACCTGAAAAAAGTCATGGTTGCTTTAATAAGCAACCATCCACTTTATATCTTGAGAAACATTGCATTATGCCATTATTTTTGAAATGCTACATTATAGTATGGACATTGGTCTGAAATTGAATTAAAAAAAATAGATACTTTATAACACAGGTGCAGCTTTCAGGACAATGCCTTGTATATATGTCTACTATACTTTCCAACTTTATAGAACATAACAGGTGTAAATATTTTGATTTCATTTTTTATAGAGAGTATTCATTTGGGATTTGGATGAGACAATCATCATTTTCCATTCGCTTCTCACAGGATCGTATGCTAACAGATATGGGAGAGTAAGTATGCACAACAACATTTGTACATGTGTTCATGCAGAAGCAATCTATAGAAAAAAGTAAAAACTTATGATAGTATCATAAGATGAATTATTGAAGCTAAAAATGAAATAAAAACAGTAGTTGTCATGGAGGTTTCAGTGCTTATGAAGCTTAAAGAAAATGGTCAATTTATTGTTACTGAATGGTAGCTGCTGATCTCAGAAAAGCAAAGCAAGGGCAGATTTGTTTACTATTTGGGAGACCACCAGGAAGCCTGAAAAGAAATAACATCTGGAAACATCCATATTGTTGCAAAGAAATCAATATGGATGTGTCTATGTAGTCACCAGGAGTTGATAGTTAATTCAGGAAAACTTTACCAAATAATTCTGAAAATAAAATTATTTATAAACTAATATTGCTTTTCAAACAAATACATATTTGTATTTTCAGTGCAGAGTCCCTATAACAATACACTAGGAATCCATGCTGCAACTACTCTTCATGTTGACATAATTAAAAAATTATAAATATTCTAAAACTTTCTGTACTTTCATTATTACTGTTGTACAAATTCCCTACTGAATTTTGGATGAGAAATCGTGTACCACTCTAAATAATAGCATATTTCTAAATAAATAAATAAAGTGTCCATTATTCAGCTGGATGAAAGAAAAAAGATACAAACTTATTAAATAAAATGTATTATGGTAGAACTCTAAAACAAAATAAATCCAATTTATAGTATGGATAAAAATTGTTCAGTTCCAGCTTTCTAATACTAGACATAAATATTCTATGTGGAATTACATAAAGAACTTCTTATATATGCCCATCAATATTGTTAATTATTAGATTAGTACAGTATATTACATACTGTTTTAATATAATACCACTGTAATGAAGAATAAATGAAATCTTGCTGTTAAGTAAACGGGCTGATGAAAATTGTTTACATGTTACAGAAGTTATGATGTGATAAAATACTTAATTGAATGATTACCTATCATCAAGTCATTGTCAGCTCTTAGCAATCACATAGATTTTCTCCATGACAATCTGTTCCTACCCTGGTCTTTCAATTGTGCATTCATCGCCATTGCAACTGAATCCACCCACCTTCCTGCTGGTCATCCTCTTCTCTTTCCTTCTACTTTTCCCAGCATTAGAGCTTTCTCCAGAGAGCTGGGTCTTTGCATAATGTGTCCGAAGTAGGATAATTTGAACCTGGTTGTTTGTACCTCTGGTGAGAACTCTGGACTGATTTGTTCTTTGATCCATTTGTTTGTTCTCTTGCCTATCTATGGAATTCTCAGGAATCTTTTCTAACATACTTCAAAAGCGTCAATACTCTTTCTTACAAGCGCACAAATGGTGATCATGTGACCTTGGGACTCTGTGATGGTCGTAAATGCAAGGACCAGTCATACTGTTACTTTTTCAGCACTGTCATAACTTTGAACAGTCACTAAACAGGACAGTCATTAAATGAGGTGCACCTGTATTAGTTTGGTCTTCTTTATAGTTAAACTTGCATTACTAGAGTTTTCAAATCATTTGCATTTTCAGCAGAGTACAGGTGGTCTTCAGTTAATGACGGTAGTTAGGACCAGAATTTCATTGCTAAGCGATGCAATCATAAAGCGTGGCACTATATGACCACATCGCTTAGCAACAGCAATCCCCACACTCCCCATTGCCATTGTTAAGTGAGGATCATGGGTCATTAAGTGAGTCCCAGACAGCTTGCAAGCAGGCCAGCAGGCAGGTAAGTGGCTGCTGCCAGGTGGGGGAGGGTGCACAGGTGGCCAGTGTGGTGTGAGTGTGGTGGGGCCAGGGGTGGCTGGGGCCAGCTGTAGGAAAGTACAAGCTACTTACCGGAGCAATTCGGTAGCTGCAGGAGCTTCCCTGCAGCTTCCCTATTGATTTTGCTGGTGGGAGGCTGGCAGAAAAGGTCACAAATGGTGATCATGTGACTGTGGGATGCTGCAACCATCGCAAGTGCGAGCCAGTTGCCAAGCGCCCAGATCGCGATCATGTGACTGTAGGGATGCTGGGATGGCCAGAACTTCGAGGTTCGGTCATAAGTACCACTCATTCAGTGCTGTAGTCAGTTCGAAAGATTGCTGAATGAGTGTTGTTAAATGAGGACTACCTGTCATGAGCACAACACAGGTTACTAATGCTTCTTCCTCCAATTTTAAAACCATATCCATTTTCTTCCAATCTAGCCTCCCTCAATATTTCTGTTTAATTTTTCTTTCCTAAGGAATACAAGCCAACTATGTATTCCTCCTTACTATTTCTTTACAACTTTGATATTCCAGTCTTCAACTACAAACAGCACATCTTGTGTGCATATTTTGTCAGTTTCAGATTGAACCTGACCACAAAACTTGTGAACTTCCTCTTCTTCTGCATCAGTAGTTGAAGCATGAACTTTGAGAACCATCATATTAAAGGGTTGTCCAGCAGCCATGTCTAATTGATATTATTCAATCGTTAACTGCACTGTACTGTCTTTGCTATGTCCTTCATGACTATGAAAGCAATGCTGTTCCTTCTTTGTTTTTCATGTCCTGTTAGTGAATATTATTTTCTGACTGAAAGTGTCAAATTCCAGTGTATTTCAGTTCATTGATGCCTAACATGTCAATGTGTAGTCAGTTCATTTCAACTTCCACTGTGTTGAGTTTTCCCATGTTTATTCTTCTTAAGCTCCATGTTACCATTGTAATTCTGCTTTGCAGCTTATTTTCTTTTCCTGCATGAAAATATCAGCAACTAGACATCCCAAAGGCTTTAATCTCCCCTCATCATAAATACTATTAGTATGCTGAAAGATCCTCAGCTCTTCCTCAATAGTATGTTGAGTCCCATCCAGCTTTATTGGCCTATCAATCAACACTGTATAATCAATAACTCTGTTTTCTGTCCATGTAGTTTTCTTGGTAAAATATAGGAGTGGTTTACTATTGATTTCTCCCATGACATATGAAATGATCCCTTTGCCATTGTCACTAAAGTGATCATCTTTCTGTTTTACTGGTGTCTAACATAGGTTCCTGTTTGCTTTAGTTGGGCAGCTGGGATGATCTTCATGTGTTGGTGATTCTGTTGGGAATATATATCCTTGGTGTACACTCCTGGTGTTCTTTGTTTACCCCTTCCAGGAACACATACATATACACACATACCACAACAACATAGCAGGACTTAATGGGGCTACCTGTTATAGGTAGCTTTAATATGATTGCAGTTCTTTTTAGGTGATTTAATTCTTCCATGAATGGAACAAGAAAAAGCTCAATGTGCTCAGTACAATTAGTCCTCACTTAACAACCCTAACTGGGACTGGCAACTCCGCTACTAAGTGAAGCAGTCACTAAGTGGGAAATATTGTATTCAGTGTACTTGCTGCATGGTAAAAGCTAGCATATGTTATACATACCAGTAGAAGAGAACATATGTAGCTCAGGGTTGAACTGTGGAGTCCTTGGGGTTCTCTGAGCTTGGTTGTTTTCTTGCAGACATTTCATTACCTGTATAGATAACATCTTCAGTGCTAGAAGGGAGTGGGGTTTGCTCTCTGTTTATACAGTAATTTGCCCTATCAGTGTTGGTGGGGCAGTTGTTTTTTTTCTTGGTAGTTCCTAGATTAGGCTGTTGTTTACTGCTTGATGGTTTGTCTGAGTTGGTAGTTCCTTGATTAGGGTATTACTTACTGCTTGATTGTTTGTCTGGTGTTAATCCTGGTGTTAATCCCTGCTTATTTGGGTGTTGATTGCTGGCGAGGAGATGTTCTGGTCTTTTTGCTTCCTCTTGATTGTCTCTTTTGATTAGTATGTAAATATTGTTTATCCCTATGTGCCTGTTGATGGCTGACTTGTCTAAATATCAGGCTTCCAGGAATTCCCTTGAGTTTTTGGGTTTAGCTTAGTTTAAGATGCTGATAGTTTCCCAGTTGAAATTATGGTTAAGTCTGTCCAGGTGTTGTGAGATTAAAGAGTTTTCATCGTGTCTTCTGACTTCTAGGTAGTGTTCATGGATGTGCTCTGCTAGTCTTCTGCCTGTCTGTCCTACATAGTGGCTGTTACTGTCCTTACACTGTATGTTGTAGATGACTCCTGTTTTTTCTTGGGATACTGGGTCTTTTGGTTTACTTAAGATGTTTTGGAGGGCTTTAGTTGGTTTGTGTGCTACAGAAATGCCATGTGGTTGTAATGAGTTGTTTCTGAGAAGTTACTGATGTATGGCAGTGTTATCTTTTTCATAGCTTGTGTTCATGGATGTGCTTTGCTAGTCATTTGCTGATGTGGATATCCAGGAGGGTAATGTGTTGTTTTCTTCTTCCCTTGTGAATTTTATTCCTTTGAAGATGTTGTTGATAGTTTCATGTGTCTTCTCTAGTTGTTCCTTTTTTATTATGATGAAGGTGTGGTCTGCATACCAGAACCATACTTTTGGTTGTATGCATGAAAGTGCTATAGTTTCTAGACGCTGCATTACAATCTCTGCTATGAATGCTGAGAGTGGTGATCCCATGGGTGTTCCTCTGATTTGTTGGTATATTTGTCCATCAAACTG